ATTGCAAGGCAAGCCCCCGAACTCCTGCATTGGCGAGGCAGTGGACCAGTAACTGATGGTCGACCATGTCGAACGCAGCCGACAGGTCCAAAAACACCAGCACTGCCGAACCACCCCGATCCAGATACCTCTGGAGATCATCCGTGAGGGCAACCAGTGCTGTCTCCGTCCCATGGCCTGGGCGAAAGCTGGACTGGAAGGGATCTAAAATGGAAGAGTCATCCAAAAAGCTCTGTAGGTGGATTGCCACGGCCCTCTCTATAATTTTGCCCAAACAGGGCAAACTGGAAACCAGCCCATAGTTAGCTCACAGTTTTTTTGGACATCTTTCTTGCCTTTCATTGCAGGAAGGCATGGCTTTTTTGTATCTTTAGCCTCAACAAGTATGTCATTAAGTTTCAACAAGCATGTATTATTTTATAGGTCTAAAACTTATTACTTTAATGAGAAGAAGCTCCTCCTCTAAAAACAGCAACTTGTTTCTGGGGGTCTTGGGAACTCCTCATCTTAGACTTCGCCCTCTTCTAAGATCTGAATTCTCTGATTCTTCCTGGTTGAATTAGAACACAAAAGGCCACCATGGTGGGACAGGTCCAACTGGATGGCAGTTTGAAATCCTGTGCCTGTTGGATCTGGCTGATTCCCCAGGGTAGCAGCCTCTTATTCAGAATGATGAGGGAGTGTGCATGTGTGAAGGGGACAGAGATATAGAGGGCTGTATGTGGTTCTTTCTATCCAGCGACTGTCCTGCCTGGTCCTTATTGGCAATTTCTCTGCTATAAATTGCTTGAACCACTCTTGCCGCCCAGGTGGAACAAAAGAAGAGCCTTCCGCCACCCATAGAACAGCTGGAAGCATCTGGCTTCCTTTTTACTCACATCTGAGCTGGGAATCTTGTCTGCATGCCTGTCATCATCAGCAGCCAACTGCTCCCCCACCCAGTACAGGCTGCTGGGATGAGGCTGTGTTCTGGCATCGAAAGAGCACCTGCTCTGGAAGAACTGTGGCCTGTGGCTCACCCCAGAGCTCTGCTAGTTCCAAGTGACTGGCTGCACAGTTCTGCAGGGCCTTCCTGCTCCATGGTTTGGGAATATAAGCTCAATGCCCCCCTCTGATGAACGTGCAGCATCAGACACCATGCCTGTAAAGCTGCATCTTGTCAGTGCTGTTGCAACTGAGGTTAGAAACAAGTTGGTGCCAAAGCAGCAAAATGAAAGGTAAGAGCATTTTTCTCTCTAAGAATCTGGATGGGGAGAGAAGCAAAGGACTAGAAGAAAAGTAAGGGGGGGAAATGCACAGGGGAAAAAAAGGACTAGACTGAAACCAGACAGCTCTGCTGAACAACCTAAAAGGAGGTTTCAATCCTGTTCTCACACTGGAGGCAGGAAGAGAACTGAAGGTGCAGGGCCAACAAGTTGGTGCCAAAGCAGCGAAATGAAAGGTAAGAGATGGGGAGAGAATGCAAAGGACTAGAAAAAAAGTAAGGGGGGAAATGCACAGGGGAAAAAAAAAGGAATAGACTGAAACCAGACAGCTCTGCTGAACAACCTAAAAGGAGGTTTCAATCCTGTTCTCACACTGGAGGCAGGAAGAGAACTGAAGGTGCAGGGCACTCCCTAGTGGTAGAGATGGAAACTGCAATTTACTTCCTGCCTCCAGGAATGATGGGAAAGGGAATTCTCAATTGTCAGGAAGCCTTCCCCCCCTCAAGTGAGGATGGCTTACTTTCTCCTACTGTCTTTATGCTTCTTGATTCAAAAGATAATGTCTACTGCAGACAAAAATTCACAACTGTGTTTTGCCCTGCATGGGTCTCATCATGCATGTCTAGGGTTGGAGCTATGAAGGAGCAGTGTTCAAGTCAATGCCCCTCCCTTCCAGATGAAACAGTTGTTGCAGCTGAATGGAGGTCCTTAAGTTCTAATCTTTGCTCATTCTTGATGTTTTTCTTGGGGGGGGGTGTCACTCCTCATTATTTTGCCACGGAAAAGCAAAGGGACACAAGGTCAATTACTATGCCAGGAGCAACTATTCATGAATATTTTGACCATACTGGAAATAGAGTTTGTGTAGGTGCTTCATGGTGTAGGTGCAATATGTAATGTAGCTGTTATTCCTGTGCTTATGTTACTATAACCTTATGAGTAAGCTGAAATAATGCTTCTGACTAAGCATATAATCTTGCCTAGCTTGGACTGAACCCTCAAGGCTTCAAATTCATTAGGTTAATTTTCTGTTCAGACAACATGTGTACACACAAACAATTATACCTCCAGGACTCAGCCAGAAAAAAAAGGTTATGTTCTTTGAGTCTTAATCACATTCATGCTAATTCTTAAAAAGTTTTTTTGGGAGACCTACCACATGTTCCGCACCCATCTAAGGTTCAAATGACAGGGCCTTCTCAGTAGTGACACATAAATTATGCAACTTCATCCCCAGGGAAATTCCCTCCGTCCCAACACTACAGTGACCTTTAGATGCCAAACAGTTTTATTCCAAAGGTGTTTTGCATTAGCTACACTTTCTGGTGCAAACGTTTTTGATTCAGTTGCATCACAAGTTCACGGTCTGCAAAAAAGGGACACCATGGGAAAATGGTAATTTCTAATTTCACAAGTTCTTACGCCTTGCCCTTGTTTGGTATTTGCTGGATGTGATTCTGGATGGCAGGAGTGGCATTACAAAGTGAAAACCCACAGATCAGCAGAGATACTAGGAGAGACTAGGGCTTCCCAAGCATGATCTAAATGACATCCTGAATGCTGGAACCCACTCCAGCCTCCAGACAGCAAAAAAGAAAAACAAATAACCCGCATTTTACATTATTGGGCAACTCCTATTTCATCACATATGCTGCAAAGAGTACCAACTGAATGAAGTAAGCATGCAAGTCAAGCTATGGTGAGACTTAAAGGTAGTACCACTACTTAACTCTTGGGAACAGTTATGGCAACCAGTACAAAAATTTACCTTTAAAAACACCACCTGAGTCTGCCTTACACTGACTTTATGAGTTGCAGATGATAATGTTAAATGATCGAACAAATCAGGACAGTAAACTTTAATACCACCATGGTTTACATCTAATCAGTATTAATTTGCTGTAACTGAACATTATGTCTGAAGAGTGTCATAACTTAGTTCAGTCTTCCACTGAATTTCTGTAAAATTGAGCTAACAATGAATTTAACTCAGAATTCCAAAACAATCAAATCAGGAATAGCTAAAATTCAACAAATTCACACTCTTTTCCAACCAGTAAGTGATGTTAAACTGGGTTACTTCAGTATTTACAAACTTTATAACCTGTGAAATTTATGAAAAAGCATACAACTGAACTAGAATTCTCAATGTAAACATCTGAATTGCAACCATTGCCAACAGCTGGCACTGCAAGTGGTACAGCTTATATAAAATTTTTGATTAACTCTTATTTAAGAAACATGCACTAATAAGCAACGAGATTAAGCAGATTTACCTGCAAGGACTCCATCAGAGCAAGAAATTAACATTTAAAGCCCTTGCCAGATTCAAGTAATATTTGCCTTGTCTGAACAGGGAAGAGAGTAAACTTTGCATTTCTATAAAAAAACCCAAACTGTTTAAAAAGCAAAAAGGAAAGTTAATGGGGATCTTTACAAACTATTCAAGTTTTCCCCAATATTTCATTCATTTCCTTCTGGTCATTTCTTCATGGCTAAATTCCACAGGATTCAAATCTAAATGCATGCCATCCCTTTTGTTGTTTTGCTCCTTTGAGTTCCATCTGAGGAGTGCAGAAATAGAAACACAGCCCCGGTGGTTTAAAAACTTTGACAACATTTGGTTGAAGTCTTTGTACTTGCTTAAGCACCCCTCAAGCGGTCCATCAATAAATTTATTTCTTTCCTCATCCAGTTTAACTAGATCTATAAATGTACAGATCCTTTTAATAGTGCCAATGTCCTGGAAGGGTTTTTAAACACCTTTCTTCTATACATACAAATCACATTCTCTTGTCTAAGAAGAATCAAACAAAGCCACTGTCATCACTACACAATAACAAAGCCATTACTCTAATTACAGTTCCCGAATGAGATGTACAGGCTGTAGCAACACCCACTGCCTGCAAGGACACTCCTGCAAAGTCATTCCTATCCCAAGGAAGCCAGAGGAAGAATTCCTACAATTAGTTTTTTCCTCTTAGTGGTAGTCTAATATCACAATTCACAATATGCACCACAGTGCATCCAACTGCAAAGCTTCTGGAAAACCCAAACAAAAGGAACGTCACAGGATGACGTCAGCCTATATACAGTTGTATGGTCGCAGCACATAAGCAATCGCATTCCTGTACCGTGTCCCTGAAAGCTTTCAGCAAATGCATTCAAGCGACTACAGAAGCTTCTCTCGCAGCAATAAGCCACCCATCTGCCATCAACAAGTTAAAGACAAAAAAGCCATAGCTGTGGAAAGCGTTGCCAATTAAACAGCTGTACAGTATAAAAACGGAGAACTTCGATCTAGCCCTGATTCAGGAATTATTGGACCCCTTACTGGAAGTCAAGGAAATGAATTTAAAAGGAATATCTGAGAGAAGGGATATCAAGTCAGTTTTACTCTAATATTGGAGGACAGTAGAAAACAGTTAATTATTCAAAGGTTGCCTACATCAGAGCTTTTTACAGACTCACTGCGCTGAGTCTAATACTACGACTGAATGCAACCTCCAACGTCCTCAAAAGAATGGGTAAGTTTATACCTTTGATTTGTTTTACCATTTGCCGCTGATCTTCCTTACTTCAGAAATACTAAATCAGCTATCAATACCTTTTAAAAATCCTCAGTCTTTTGTTTTAAATGTAAAAAGCTGAAACATTTTAATGCATGTCATGATCTGCAGCAATCTTTCTCCTTTATGTTGTCAGCATACATCATCTGATAAGACTATCCTATTTTGTTGTTTCCCTGAATTATATTCTGCAGGCTTACATTTCAAGTGGCCATTAGGGGCTCCTATGCTGGCGGCAATATATGCAATGAGTATTGTTTTTAAAATGCTGCCTGCCTTGGGCACGGCTTGTCCGCCAAAATGCCGTTGTGAGAAGCTGCTCTTTTACTGTGACTCTCAGGGGTTTCACTCAGTGCCAAACGCCACTGACAAGGGCTGTCTAGGGTTGTCATTGAGGCACAATTTTATTATGGAACTTGAAGGGGATCAGTTTGCAAGCTTCAGTCAACTTACTTGGCTCCATTTAGATCATAATCAAATTGACACAGTAAGAGAAGATGCTTTTCAAGGACTGTATAAACTCAAGGAGTTAATTTTAAGTTCAAACAAAATCTCTTATTTGCCAAACGCAACTTTTAGCCAACTGCTTAACCTGCAACATTTGGACCTCTCTTTCAATCAGTTGTCTGCTTTGCACCCCGAGCTGTTCTATGGCCTTCGCAAACTGCAAACCTTGAGTTTACGTTCCAATTCCCTGAGGACTATGCCAGTCCGCCTCTTTTCAGACTGCCGTAGTTTGGATTTCTTGGATTTGAGCACAAATCGCTTGCGAAGTTTGGCACGCAATGGATTTGCAGGATTAATCAAACTGAGGGAGCTTCACCTAGAGCACAACCAGCTGACAAAGATTAACTTTGCTCATTTCCTACGGCTAAGCAATCTGCACATGCTCTTCTTGCAGGGGAATAAAATTAGCAACTTGACGTGCGGGATGGAATGGACCTGGGGCACCTTAGAAAAGATAGATTTGACTGGAAATGAGATCAAAGCCATTGACATGACAGTTTTTGAAACAATGCCTAACCTTAAAGTACTCCTAATGGATAACAACAAGCTAACCACCCTGGACTCCAAGGTTTTATATTCACTTACAGACTTAACTACCGTGGGCCTCTCCAACAATCCTTGGGAATGCAGCCCCAAAATATGTTCATTAGCCACATGGCTGAGTGGCTTCCAAGGTCGGTGGGAGCACTCCATACTTTGTCATAGTCCAAACCACACCCAGGGAGAGGATATTCTAGATGCAGTTTATGGTTTTCAGCTTTGCTGGAATTTATCGAGTGTTGTTACGTCCGCTGCTACAAGTTACAGAGCTCCAACGACTGAATACACAAAAAGAATAAGCTCCTCAAATTTCCATGTGGGAGACAAAGAAATTTCAACCACTACGGGCATAGCCATTACCACAGAAGAACAGTTACCTGAACCAAACAATGCCATCTTCACCCAGCAGGTAATTACCGGAACAATGGCTTTATTATTTTCTTTCTTTTTTATCATTTTTGTAGTGTTCATCTCCAGGAAATGCTGCCCCCCCACATTAAGAAAAATTAGGCAGTGCTCAATGATTCAAAGCCACAGGCAACTGCGATCTCAAACACGACTACATATGTCAAACATGTCAGACCAAGGACCATATAATGAGTATGAACCCACCCATGAAGGACCCTTCATCATCATTAATGGCTATGGACAGTGCAAATGTCAGCAGCTGCCATATAAAGAATGTGAAGTGTAATATCTACAGGTAATGAGAAAAAAAAACAGATGCTAAATTTTAAATTGCAGGGACCCTATACACAAATCTGATTTTTACAAATGTTGACAAAGCCTAGAATTTTTTCCAGACTACTTGATTGTTTTGAGTGATGCAGTATATTCTTTTAATAAACCCATAATATGTTCAGTGTTAAAGAAGCAATGTTTGCATTAAAATTTACCATTCCTGATGTTTGGAAGTCTAAATATGCTGAGCCCAAAATATGTAAGCTGCTTCATGTTATGTAATTGTATGTATAAAGACTTTATTCTCAGACCTCCAGGCTTAAATTCATAGCAGTCTGCAGAAGAGGACTTAGGTGTTATGTATAGGACCCAGTGATGGAAGGACAATTTACCAGCTACAGTGCATCAGTTATGACCCCCAATGTTTCAGTTGACTCAAGATTTATTTGTAGAAAGTTTAACGGGATTTTTGTTTGCTTTTCATAAGTTCTCAGATTTACGATCTTCAATGGAAAGGTGCTGGAGTGGAATTTTTCAGTATAATGAAGCATGGAAAAAGATTTCCTAGCTCCATACTGAGAGTTTAGCTTACCTTAATGTATTCTAGATTCAAAAATGTAGCTGTTGATATTTCTGAATAAACCAGGATTTATACTCCTTGCTTTCAAAAATCAACCTTGTTCTGGAGATACGTATAGAATACAGTCTGGTCCAAAAGATATTAAGTGCTTTCAGCTTATCAGGTCTGCTTTGACGTTAATAGGATATGTTTCAGACTAACATACACTCAAATTTAAAAACTCCAAACAGTGAGAAGTTGAACAAAATTGTAAGCACAGCTAACCACCCCCCCGGGCTGCTAGGCAATTAATGGAGACCAGAGAACTATTTTGTGAACTCCTGGTTTCTCTGGAGACCAGAATTAGCCCTTGCAGTACAAACTCATGCCCCATTGTGAAATCTCAATCCTGGAAGATGTCTATACTATCCTGAATCTGTTTATTCAGAAGAGAGGATTCAGAGGGAACAAAAGAGTCCCATTAAACTGCAAGTAAACCTTTCTGAAATAGAATATGCTGGGAGCTATACTTTGCGAAGAGTAAGGATCTTTTAAAATTCAAAGGTGGATTTCAAAGCAGATAGCTTTTGAGGAATGCTGTTTTACTTGCCATTTACAGAATGTTAATAAACATCAGTTAAGGCAGCATATAATGACTGGAAAACAAAAATGGTTAATTTCTGAACAAAAATAACTTAGATTGTGTTGTGGAATTATATTTACATTATACAGATGCACACTAATGCCTACTACATGGGGGGAAGAAAGCATTTAATGCAACTGCTCAAAATCATGATAACCAAAGCTATAAAATTAGGGAGAAAATGTACATATGTAGATTTTCAAATATCATGCCAAGTTGAGATGCGACAAACATTTACAAGTATATGCTGAGGGAAAGAAACCTTGGTGCTTGGATACTGTAAGTCAGTATAGTGTTAATTGTGTGTTGTACTATGCTGCAAAATTTTCAAGCTAATTATTATTGGCTCAAAAATTCATTTTTACATATGTAACCTCTCTTAGTGACATACTTGGATAAATATTGCAATGCTTTAACATGAATGAGTAGTTTGGAGACGTGCCGATAAGTAAAAGCCCATCACTCATAAGCTCCACTTTTCATACTGGGCACTATCTTAACATAAGACAATGGTCCCCAACAGAATTATTTTTCTATTGCTGTTAAGTCACTGAACTGTTTGCTGTTTGAGTGAAACCAGTTGGATCTCTCATGTAGTAAGCCATTATTCTTAGCCATATACAGTATTTTCTATGCATCTGGATAAGGGGAATTCTTTGCATCTAACACACTACATTCACCAAGAAGCCACAGTTTGACTAACGTTAATTTTAATGACTATGTACATAGGCTACCTTTGGTAGTTTATTCAATTTCAGAAAGATTAAATATTCTCCACAATAAACTCTTGTGAATTTCTATGGTCCAGCTTCTCCCCTCCCCACCACATGCAGATACTTTGTCATGTCTTGCTGAGCATGAGAGGCCGCATATAACTATACGAATGCATATGCAGGTAGACAGATGTGTATACACCACGACAAAATGCTCAGCAGGATCAAAGTTCAAAGCAAAGTACTTCCCACTCTCCTATGGTTAACAGATTCACGCAGTCCTACCAGGCTGAATGGCGACCAGTCAGTTCTCTGCAATTCAGGGTAAACTGGAAAAACACCAATCCCTAGTTTAAAGCCTTCAGAGCAATTTGCAAAACATGACCATTGATTCCTCACATTTTGTATCCTGTAGGATATTCCCAAATAAATACTGGTCAACACTGTATCATTAGTTTTTCCCCACACGGCTGTAATGAGCACTTACACCTGTATATGGGAGGCATCCCCGTATCTTACTGGATATCTCTGGTATGTAATGGTTTGCAGTCCTAAATTAGATTCAGGCAGAAAACCACAAATTTTGGCTTGGCTTACTCATTACTCATAATATGCAGCCATCACCAGTCACAACCTCAGAATGGCTTTCCTTCCGTTGCTCTCCCCCCCCCCCCCCCCCCCGTAGTCGAGCAGCAAGGAGATCTTTGCAAAAGGTGTGCAGAACACCAATACTTGCATTGGCTGGAAGACAGGACGACTTATGGAACTCTTGATGTAGTTTGGCACGCTCTTATCCTCCAGCAATTCTCAGTATCCAAGTATAATCCTAATGTCTGTCTGCAATGTCAAGCAACCTCCTTTCCCTCTAAACTCCTACCTGCAGCCAGTTAGGAAACAACCTCCTCTGACATTTATTTCTGTGCTCATGCCAGCTTGCGATACATAGATTTGTCTTTTACACAGACACCTACATTGCTTAAGTAGCCATAGCTATAAGACATTTGGCTGCTTTTAACAAAATTTATACTATTCCATATGACTTCTTGCCCATTCAAAGAACGGGTCAGTAGTATCCATCTTGAGCATAATTACGTGACTTGCATGCTAAATCACAGCCACCAAAAGAAAGTTCAGTTATTGTGCTGTACACTGCACAGCAAACACACTAAGAATAGCTCATCTAGCAGTTTATAACTGTTACAATTCTAAGTTTTAGTTTCTTTTATTTGTCCCTCATGGAAGAGGAAAGTATTCCCTTTTATGCCATACTGCTGTTGAAATGAGTTTCCATTCACACCAGTAGTAGTGGAGATGCCAAGAGTATCATGTTAGTCAACAGAAGGAATACTATAAGGGCTAATTTAAACATGCATGTGCACTTGTTAGCTATAGCATTATTACTTGCATTTTTGAATGAGCCCTCACAGATATCACCTGATGGCAAATCCTTTACATGCAGACAAGGTATCAATATACATTTGGCCAAGACTAACCAAATGGGATGTTATTGCTCAACAATGCATCACACTGACAACACTGATAAGTTATCCAGGGTGTGGTGTGCATACAAGAGCCACAGAACTCCTTGCAACTTGAGCCCCACCCACCTCTCAAAGCACTGCCAGTAACCCATAGTTCCTGCCTCAGGTAGAACAGGACTTTTGTTAGGAACCACCAAGTAAAAACACCAAGAGAACAAGTTCAGCACTTCAACACTTTCTACATTTGGTATTTAAGGCTATTTCTTACACAGTTGATACAGAATGCAGCATGTCAGCTTTTTATTCCTGAAACTGCCCAACAAATCCCTAATCAAATGAATTACTATCATTAGTTAAGAAAGCCAGAGTCCCTGCAAGCAAGCTCCAGAACTAAATCTGTTTCTTGGACATGGGACTAACAAGACTATGAGGTTGAATATGTTCAAACTTTATAATTCTTTGCACTGTAAGCGCAGATACATGGAGTTTGCTTTTGATTAGAGCAGTGTGTTGGAACAATACTGAATACTTTGGAATTATACTGATATACTGCAGTAATCACTGTTCTAGCAAATACTATTCTAGAGGGTTATAAAAGTTTAGGCGAGTTCTCATTATCCAACATAATACAAATTCATGCCCACCAAGACTGGCAAAATAGCCACATGCATGATGTAAACTTCTGAACATCTGTCTCTTGTACTTCCAGTTCAACATTCTGTGATAACGAGAACATTTTTCTGGAACTTTTCCACACATGCTGAGAATTATTAACAGACATTCCAAATGACTTGTGTTAGTAATGTTTCAAGATGCATTTTCTGGTGGAGGAGAAAGATTCATAAGTACAGTGTAAAAAACATTAAAATGTGCATATTGTAAAATAGAAGTTGCCTTTTTTTTGGTGCCCTTTCAAACAAGAGAAACATTCTTCAAAACAGTTGTCAGGACAACTCTCTTGTACTTACTCCTGTCATACAGGCTACCTAGGAAGGTCTCCTTGAAGCATAACCAAGTCATTTTATTATACAAATCAGTATGGTATCTTCAATTATATTTCAGTGAAATGCTACCAATTAGCAAGTTCTTGATGGACACTGCTGTATACTCGTGTACTATTTCTGCACTCAAGAAAAGGACACGCAGAGCAAACATCTGTAACATCAGATTCTCTTACATTTCAGAGACTGAACAGTCCCAGGCATATAAACGATTAAATTAAAAGGATGGGCCAACAGTGTGTAGCGGAAGAATGCTTTCAATCTCTACAAAAATGTTTTTAGCCAAAGTGTCTTCTTATTGGAGGGGAGTTGCCAAAATTAGAAGCCAAGATGAAAGCAACTTCCTTTTTCTACCTAATAATAGTTATTCCTCCAAAACCGAACTGTTTTGATGAATTCTAATCACATCAAAAGATTACTGACCAATACTAGAGGAAGAGGGATAAAACTGCTCTAGTAACTGAGGTGAGAGATGTTTCTGTTAATTGTAGCCTGCACTCAGGGAGTACATGAACAATTCGGTGAGGCTTTTCTTTAGAAAATAAGCATATTTAGGACTATAGCTTAATGTCTTTAACTCAGGAACACCACAAAATCAAGTAGTAAGAAGCTTTATGGAATCCAGTGAA